AGTTTTCCGTCGTACCGTGTGTTATAGAGGGATTTTTACTGGGTGCTAATACCGTATTAACCTGCGATTGATTTCCCATTCGTTACCTGGATTTTTTTTATGCCCTGAGAGCGTTGTAGGTAATCCTTACTTTAGTAAGATCCAGTTTCTTATGCATTACTGAGTTCTCCTTTTAATCTCGAAAAATATGTTTTGGGTATCCGGGATTTGTTGTTATCTTAAGTTATCTATCTTCACAGAGTAAATAATGAATAGAAAAGTTGAATAGTGTTCAGTTTAGTTTAAATTGGCTTCAACTTATGATTTGTTTCCCCGTGTGTGATGAAGATATGCGAATCTTCAGTCGAATGGTCGTTTTATGAAGTGGTGAACCTGAATTACCTCTGCGGCATCAGAAAACTGCTTCAGTAAATCCATCATCTCGTCGTTCAGTCGATCATTCAAAATCTCGTGGAGGTGTACCATGATTTTGCGTAGTTCCTTCATCGTGACGGAAGTGTACTCAATAGCCAGTGCTTGTTCTGCTAGGAAAATCTTCTCCGACACGGCCACAAGCAAGTCCTGATCAGTTGGGAATTCAGATTGCTTCTGCATGGTCATGACAAGAGCCTTCATGACTGTTTTAATGTATTGTGACCCTTCTGCAGTATTCGTGAGCTGGTTTGCGCCTTCTGCCAGTTGATGAATAACAGTGTTTGTCCATGAGCTGGATATCACGGCGTTGACCTGAAATTAACTTAGTTTATAATTGTTTCATGTTTTTAGTGAGTGAATTTATTGTTTAATTAGCACAATGCAGCGCTACCACTTTTTTCTGTGGTTCATAATAGTCACTGAATATTTGGATTTAGAAGAGACATTTTCTTGATGTCAAAAAGTTGATGAGCACGGTTGCCTGCGCCCTGCTTCATTTAGCACAATTCCCGTTCTTATTATTCGATCCAGGATGTTAACAGGAAGGATGATTTCAAGACATTTTTAAAATTAGTTGTAAATTTCCTGTGGTATTTACTGTACTCAAAATTTTTTCGTTGATAAGTATCTGATGAACTGATGATGAAAAAAATTAAAACGAAAAATACACTGTATTTTGACTATCATCTAATTGCTCCATACAGTATTTCACCTGATTAATGATGTCTAGAATGAAGTGAAAACAATTTGATGAGTCGCCGATTAGGGAAAGACCCGCGCAAAAAAAATTCGCTATACGAAAATTTGCACGGATAAAACGCTAGTCAACGAAATGTTCCACGCGACGAAATTTTTGGACGAAAAATAATCAAATTTAGCAAGTTTCGGGCATGGACTTCGAAAAAAATTTGAAAAGAACGCCATATGTTTGCCCTCCAAAATTCGTGACATTCAGAAATTAGGGTGCAAAAGCTTGCCAGGGTTACTTGAATTGAAATTGGAAATTTTACGATAAATTTTTCCAACAGGTTCAACATGGTCCTTTCGTGAGTGCCTGAATTAAAATTAGATTATCCGCAATGTAACCTTGATTGAAAACGCGTTTCGCATCACGAAAAATCGCATGCGGTTCAGAAACGGATTAGTTTCGTTGTGCGGGGACACACTGCATAGAGGTACTCTGTGTGGTAATTTTCATATCATTCATTGCTTGAATTGATGCTTGCCTTGTCCATAGCCGTATGTATTGTTGGAATCATTTCCCTGAGAATTTGATTCAGAATGTCCAGTGGAGCCGCTGAAATCTGAGTGACCAAGATGGTCAATTCACCTCCGCGGAAATTCTTGTAGAGGTCCGACTTCTGCGGCAATTTCCCCAAGGCTTCTTTGATATCAAACTCCTGCTTCATGGCGTCGAGAAGTTCTTTCACGTATTGCGTGGTCGTCTCTTCATCCAGTTGTCTCGTGCTTTGCTTGTAATCCTCTAGAATCTCCGCAACTTTTTCGGATTCAAAGCGGTCAGCGAATGTGTCGCATTCGCGAAACGCGTTTTGAGCATCATTCGCGGTCACTCTTAATGCCCGAACGAATTTCGTGGGAATGGTTTCCAAGCGGTGAAATTTCAAAAGTGCTGAAGATACGAATTTCGTGTGCTCGTTCATCAAAGCTGTGAGATTTCGGAGGCAAGTGACGGCCTTCATCATTGAACTAACAGCATCGTGAGCTTCGTCGGACAATGAAGCTAGTTTTGTGTTAGTGCGAGCGTCTTTGAGTGTGTCCAGAGTGTTGGGAAGGGAAGTGCGTATCATTTTCGGATACTCCTTCATGAAAGTAGCCACAGGGTCCTTGGAAAAAAATATGAAGTAGGAGCCATAATTGCACTTGCCATTTTAAAAATGTGTAGGTTTTACCTCAGGTGGCTGGTATTCCTTGCCTTGTTTACTCGCGGCTTCCATTTTGGTCTCCATTTTTTTCTCGATTGCCTCGGCTTAAAAAAATATCACATTGGACATGAAATTCTGGGTTTCGGAAAACATGTTTGGTGATGGATTTCTCCCCGTTGAAGTCCCAAGGAACTTTTCTATCTTGAATTAGTTGCACCACTTCAATACTTAACCTAGTTAGAAAATTGATTATCACCTTTTGTGACGGTTACCGGAAATTTTAAGCATGAAAAATGAAGGATTAGTTGATGCTACAGTATTATCTAAATCTCCAGCCAACTTAAACTCGAAATTTCTGT